TGTTTATTCTACTGAGCTATCTCCCCGGCCCCTACTTTTTTTCAATAGTTTCTTTATGTTTACCCATGTGTCAGAGTTTATATAGTATATTTTAGATACTATAAAATAACAAAATAAAAATAAGCAGGGCATAACCATTAGCTATTTCAAATGTAATCAAACTAAAAAAGAACTGACTTTCATTTTTGCTTTTTGTTGTAGTGTGGTGCTAGAGACTGAACTCAGGGCCTTCACACTGAGCTACAGCCTTAGTCCTCACCCCCTTTTTAAAGACAGGCTCTCTAAGTCACTAAGTTGCCCAGACTGAACTTACACGTGCCCTCCTCCCATCTCAGTTTTCCAGAGTGCTGGGATCACAGGTATGTGCCACAATACCTGGCTCAGTTTTTTGTTATTGAGATGTCATTTTCAAGTTGCCCTGTCACTTTGGAGAAGTTTAGTTCCTAAAGCCAACCCCAGGAGGAGCCTTGCTTATCCTCTTGGGGCATAAGCTTATACATGCTTATACACTAGGTTGAACCATCCTCTGTCACGTATACACATTTCCCCCATGGCCTATCCAGAAAGAAATCTATCACTCTGCTTCCTACACAGCTCACTTAACAGGTTCATCCAGGCTGGAATGAAAAGGACCAATAGAGGATTACGTCCTGTAGGTGCAAGAAAGGGTGCTGAGAAGGCTGTCACACCAGATCACCCCTTAGCTCAAAGGGAAGCGAATCTGATGCCATGGTGCCCCAATCTCCTGCCACCTGGTCATAGATTCTTCCTGGATCATTGTATTTGTCCCCAGGCCAGCAGACATCATAGGGTCCCTGACAGAATAAAAGTGAGAGTCAGAACCATAAGAAAGGGCTTATGGGTTATAATCACAGCTCTGAAGGACACACTGTCCTGCTCAACCTCCCAGGAAAAATATTTTTGCTTCTAACTGTGGCCAATATTTAATGTACACAGAGAAGATGGTGACAATTATCAGTCTTGCTAATGAACCCCCATGTACTCATCACCTAACTTTAACAGTACTGACCTTTAGTTCCTCTTTATTTATCTACAGCTTCCTGTCTACCAGCTGAGCTATCAAAGGGTTCGCTTGCTATTTATCTAAATCTCAGTCTTCTCACCCTCCATTTCCACCAATTGGATTATTTTCAAGCAAGTCCAAGATATCCCATGATTGCCTCTCAGGAAAATAATTTCAATGTCAAGAATATGAAAACTTTAAGAAGCTCGTGATATGAGCTATTGAGTCATGATCCTGTTAGTTGTATCCATTTCTAAAATGTTTCCCCAACAAATTAGAAGAGGAAAAAGGCCACAAAGGGTGATATTTGCTGGGAATGTTGCTTTCTTCTACAGCTGGGGAAAAATAGTTGTTTAGCTCAGCAAACTAGAGCAGATTGGCCTGTGAGCCAAATATGGCCTGTTGCCTGATCTTCCTTTAATCGCCTGAGAGCTAAGAATGGTTTGATATTTATAAATTGTTGAGAAAAATTGAAAGCAGGATAATATTTTTGACATACAAAAAATATATGAAATTCAAATGTCAGTGTCCAAAATTAAAGTTTTATTGGAACATAACTGCACTTAATCACTGTATATTATCTGTGACTGCTTTTACCTACTATGGTGGAGCTTAGTAGTTTGAGGAAGACCATATGTCCCATAAGCCCAAAATATTTACTCTCTGACCCTGTATAGAGAAAAGTCTGCAGACTCCATCTGTGCTTTTTGAAGGCGCATATGGTCCAGCACCACGGACAGAGCTTACAATGCTATTTCTCCTTCATGGTGTGGTGTGATCTGTGAATGGTGTGCCCGGGTGGGATGCTGTTACAGGGCGAATTGCTTGGTCCAGACAGACCAAAAATTAGCCAAGTCCACCCAAAGACTCAGGCAGTCTGTCCCAACCATCCTACTGCAAGACAATGGGTGTGTGGCTGTTTTCACATGCCCAGCCACCTTCTGTATTTCCCCTGGATGCCCTGTCCTCTTCTACTCTCAGTTCAGTGAAATGAGTAGGGCTGGCTGCTATTCTCTGATTCCATGAGTGGGCATTGATCCGAGTCTGTCCAAGTGGTATATTCTGCTCCTTGTTTTGGTTTGCTCTTTTTGAGACAAAAGTCTTGCTATGTAGTTCAGGCTGGCCTTGAGCTCACTATGCAGCCCAACCTTCAAACTTGTGGCAATCCTCCTGCCTCAGCTTCTTGAGTGCTGGGATTATAGGTGTGTGCCACTACACCCAGCAGCTATTTCCTGTTTTATGATTAACTCAACAATGAGTATATAATCCAAATTAGACCAATGTGTCAGTGTGGAGCATTTAAAGCTACAGAGAAGGAGGTATTCTGTTTATTTGAAGATATCTAACCTAACAGGATACCAAGCTGGACTTGCTAGGAAATCTTTAGGGAGGAAATTCTGTGTCCAGCTGGTCTTAATGACCATTCTGTCTCTTTTCAACTGAACAGACAATTTTTTTTCTAGGTGCTTAACCAGTGTGGTGGAAATGGCTAAGTCTCCAAGGAAATGTTATCCCTGTTTCCTCTGTAAGAACAGAACTGTACTAAGGCATATATTTTGCTCTCAGGTAAGACTGCATTTCCCAGCCTCATTTGCAGTTAGGTGTGGCCATGAGTCCGTATCTCACTGATGGGTGTGCACAATTTCCCGGCCTGGACCCGTTGGCTCGATTATGCCTCTACCACATTTGCTTTCCCCTTTTCCCTCCAGCTGAAGGCTCCAGTGAATCTGCCCGTCCATGTAGACCAGGACAATGGATGTGATAAGAGATGGTAAAGGAACACAATGGCAAGAACTTGGGTTTCAAATAGCCCTGTACAGCAGAGGTCACCTTTGAGAGCAACGTAGAAAAAGAAACGGAGTGTTCTCTGAAGAGCCTGCATTAAGCAGGCCTCTTTGCCACAGCAGCTAGCTTACATTAATATGGCAGCATAGAGTGGGTCACTAGCTGCGAGGGACTGGTAACACAAATCTGCTCACCATCTGCACTTCGTCATAAAGGGGTCCCCAGGCCCCTGGTGGGCCATATACTCTCTCCACTTCATCATACAGATGCCCAGGAAAGGCTACATCCTCCTCCTCAAGACCTGTGGGGTGGGAAGTTGGAGGATTAGAGCGCACTCAGCCTATGGGGCAGGGGTACCTCGGGATGTGGAAGTCCTGATGTTTTCGCAGCTCACCTCGGGTATAAGCCATTTCTTCCAGTGTGGGGGGCAGCTGGGGGCGGAAGTCCCTCAAAGGGTGGAGATGTGGCTCTGTTTCTGTTGTGCTAACCTGTCACACACACAGAAAAAAAAGTAAAGTCTTTTCCACGGATCCAGAAAAGGGCAATGATTGATCTGAAGCTATGGATGGAGTTTGTTACCCCGGTACAAGAGGCCGTCCAGGCCATCCCACTCACCGTGGAGCTTCGCGTGTCCTGGTCCCCAGTCCACTGACTTTCCTCATATTCGTTCCTGACCCGATCCTCCTCCAACCTTCCACAATGGAGATGGCAGTTGGGTATTGGCTTTGTGCCACCTGTCACCCCCAGACCTCTTCCCTCAGGTCATCTTTATAGAAAGTGTCCCCCACTTACCCTGCCTCTGACTTCTCTGAGATACCTGGAAAAAATAGGGAAAGGATCAGAGCCCACCCTGTCCCAGCTCACTTGGCCCTGAAGAAATCTTCACTATGCAGTAGCCCAAGGGGCTCCATCACCCTTGGGTCTTTATCTCATCAGGAAGGAGGTATCTACTCACCCTCAGTGAGATGCCTCAGTCTTCGCCACCAGAGGAACCCCCCAACACATGAGATGTTGGAAAGCAGCAAAAGACCCCCGACTGCACACATCACAGGTAGCAGAGGCAATCCTGGGGGTTCTGGGGAGGAAGATGCCCCTCAGTGACCCCAGGCAATGGGCTTTATGCCTGGGGTGGACTCTTAGGAAAGCCTTTCTCTAGTTGAGTGTGACGACACATGCCTATAACCCCACCTACTTGGGAAACTGAGGCAAGAGTATTGCAAATTTGAAGCCAGCCCTGAAATTTAGTAAGACCCTGTTCAAAGTAAAAATAAAAAGGTCAACCAGGCATGGCGTTGCATATGTATGACCCTAGCACCTTGGAAAGGTGAGGCAGGAGGAGCAAAAGCTCAAGATCAGCCTGGCTAATTTAGTGATTTAGAGAGACCCTGAGTCAATAAAAATAAATAAATGAATGAACGACAGGGGATGTTTTTTATTTATTTATCTGCAGCACTGGAGATGGAACTCAAGACCTTGTGCTTGCCAGGCAGGCACTTAGGCCACTAAGCTATCTCTATGGCCTAGGGATGTACTTTAGTTTGAAGTCCCTGAATCCAGGCCCAGGTACTGCAAAAATTTTTTTTAATTTTAAAAATAGACTGGCAATGTAGCTCACTGGATTCAATCTCTAGTAGGAAAAAGAAAGACAAAGTGTGCCAAGTAATCAAAACTGTTTCCTTCAAGATGCAAGAGGTGAGTGAACAGGGGTCTTTATTCTCACCCCTTTTTGCCACCCAAAGGTCAGTGGCTCCTTTCTTAAGTCAAGGCACGAGCAGCAGGTCCTATGCTTGCCTGAGCAGTGGCTCAGGACTGAGAAGGGAAGTTCAGCTTCCCTGTGGGGCTGTGAAGTCCTTCCGCCTCCTGGTCTCTCCCCATGGCTCCAGCCTTACCCACCAACCACTGACCTCTGTGTTGGACCTTCCAGCCACACAAACTAACCAGTGGCCATTTCCAGGATCACTCAAGCAAACTCATCCCTCTGAGCCTTAAATTTTTTTTCTTGGGCCAAGCATGGTGGCCCACACCTGTAATCCCAGCACTCAGGAGGCTGAGGCAAGACGATCATTGCAAGCTCAAGACCAGGATGGGCTACAAAGTGAGCTCAAGGCCAGCCTGAATTGCATAGTGAGACCCTGTCTCAAAAACACCAAAAAAAAAAATCCTTTTAATATTTTGAGGTAGAATCTTGCTAAATTGCTAACCTGTCAAGGCTGGGCTCAAACTTGCAATCTTCCTGCCTCAGCCTCTTATAGTGCTAGAATTATAGGCCTGTGCCACCACGGCTTGCTCCTTCTGTGCTCTCTTGAGGGAATAACCTTTGAAAGAAACTAGGACAGATAAAGGTCAAGTTTAGAGATCTGAGAGACAGATTGTGCATGTTCATTTTGGGCACCTAAATCCAGCCACACCTGAATTTTCAATTTCCTTAACCAAGAAGTTCTTTTTAGTGTAAACAAGAGCTGAATTTATTTATTTATTTATTTATTTCGTCCTTCCTTTCTTTTTTTTTTTTTCTTACTTTCTTTTCTTTCTGTACCAGCAATCAAACTCACAACCTCACACTTGGCAGGCAGGTGCTGTGCCACTGAGCTATATCCCCAGCCCAAGAGCTTAACTTCTGTCACTTGCCACCTTCCTTTCAAACTCTGAAGGAAGCGTACCCACCAAATGGTCACAACCCCCTCCTGTATCCACTCTTGGGTCATCCTCTTCCACGCTGACTTTTCATTGAGCCAGGGGACAACAGTAAATGTGACAGAATTAGACCCTTAGAACATGCTAGTAATCTGCAGCTTGTAAGGTGAGATACATGGCCATTATCTGCATTGTCCCAAGTAAGATCCAGGTGACTATCAGATACATGGCCCAGTGTAGCTGCCAGCTCACTGTAGGGGTGATTCAAATCAGTCCAGACCAGAACTGTTCTGCTGGACTCAAAAGAATCATGGGAAGTAATGTGGTTTTTCTATGAGCACTTGTGTTTGGGGTGGTTTGTTATGCAGCTAGAACTAACTGATACAGCCTCCTCCCAGAGTGTGGACTTCGCTAATTATTTTAGAAATAAACTAAGTCGGGACTGGTGAGATGGCTCAGTGGTCTAAAGCACCTACTTAGAACAAGCTTAGCAAAGCACAGGGACCGCGGTTCAATCCCCCAGCACCACATGCCAGCCAGCCCCGCCCCCTGGTGGGCTGAGCTGGCCACACACACACACACACACACACACACACACACACATATAAATAAATAAATTTTTTTAAAAAGAAATAAACTAAATCAGGAAGGAAGAGAGTGTATCACTCTATGCAAGAGGAAGAGCTAAGGATACAAGTGAGAGTCTGCAGAGACAAGCCCGAGTTTTAAGCAGCTGCAGCCAACAAGGAAGCAGAAATGGGCCCAGGGACCAGAAGGTTCCACTCTGAGGGGAGGGGGTGGGCTCTGAATTGAGGACTTGCCTCCAGGTTGCTCTGTAGGCAGCTGGTCATAAGGTTCTCCAGAAGGCTGGTCCAGGCCTGGAGGATGGATATAGAGATTATGAATTAATTCCAAGAATCTGAGATAAGCTTTAAGTATTTCTTATCCTCTTATTAAGCTTTTCAGCTGACTTTGAGACTCATGGGAACCGGCTCGGATGGCTTCTTATTTCAAAGATAGCTGGAAATTACTGCCGATAATGGCAATACTATTAATAGCAATTTAAATGTCAATGATAATGATGATGATGATTAAATATTACTGAATGTTTTATGATGTACAAGGTCCTGTAACCTGAATTTGTTAAAACAAAAAGCTGGGTTCTCAGGATTCCTTAACAGAGGTACAAATTTTAGAGCAGGAAGGTGAATGCATCACTTTATGTTTTAACACTTAAAAGCAAGACTAGAATGAGACGGGAAAAAGGGATGACTGTAGGAATGGGAAAGGGGTTTTTTCTTCATTAATTTCTGCTCTTTATTGTTTCCTTTCTTCTGTTTCTTTTGGGTTTAATTTGTTCCGCTTTTTCTAGTTTAAGATGAAAACTTTTTGTTTGTTGGTTTGCTTTTCGAGACAGATTCTAGCTATTAGCTCAGGCTGGCCTTGCACTCATACAATCCTGCCTCAGTTTCCCAGAGGGCTGGGATTACAGGCCTGTGCCGCCTCACCTGGCTTGAATGAAAATTTATAATGTCCGTTTGAGGCCTTTCTTTTTCAAATCTAATCCAAACACTTAATGCCATGTATATCCCCGTAAGCATTGCTTTAGCCACACCCTCCACATTTGTACGTTTTAATTTTCATTCAAATCAACCTCTCTTCAGCCTCCTGAGGGCTGGGATTACAGGCATGTGCCACCACACCTGGCCTCAAGCTAGTCTCTAATTCCCTTTGGTCAGTAACCATATTCAGACAAGATAGGTTACAGGCTACAAGCTGATCTCTGGAGCTCATCTGCTTGAGTTTCATCCTTATCTTCCTCCTCCTCTCCCTAGCTGTGTAACTTTGGTCATTTTCTTCTTTGAATTTTAGCAACTTTATCTGTGAAAGGGAAAAATTACCAATACAATCTACTTCACTAAAGCACTCTATGAGTCTTCTGAGGAATTGTCCAACCTGCCTGACACTGTCCCTTCCTACCTGGGGTAGTGATGGAGAGCTGGATCTGCTTGTCAGTTAACCCACTGTCCCCCATGGCATTGCTGGCCAGCAGCCAGACCCTGTATCGTGTGGAAGGCTGCAGCCCAGTCAGTGTGAAGGTGGTGGCCTGGGGTGGTAGGACATCCACGTAGAGAAACCCAGGTGTCTCCAGGGCCTCATACCTGCATGACAGGGAAGAGTCAGTTCAACCCTTACTTCCTGACACCCCTTACTTACCTTGACAGCAACCTACCTGATGTGGAACTTCTGCGGCAATCCCCCATCAAAACCATGTTTCCACTCCAGGCCCACTGAGTGGGGAGTCAGGCTCACAACCTTCAATCCCAGTGGTGGATCAGGGCGGCCTTTGGGTAGAAATATGGGAGAAGTGGTCGGAGGATACAAAAAGAAGGTTTCATCCAGGTTTTTGCTAAGCATGATTTTAAACATACACTAGATTTTAGCCAGGTATTTTGGTGTATGCTTGTGCTACCAGCACTCTGAGAGGGGAAGGCAGGAAGATCACAAGTTCAAATTCATCCCAGTCAACTCATTGATTAGTGAGACACTGTCTCAAATTTAAAAAAAAAAAAAAGTGTTGGGACATAGCTTAAGGCAAAGGTCCTGGGTTTAATACCCAGTACTGCAATCAGTCAGTCAGCCAGTCAGTCAGTCAGTCAGTCAGTCAATCAATCAATCAATCAATCAATCAGTTAATCAATCAATAAGTTGATTCTAATACTTAGGTATTGATACTTAGGTATTCACGATTGTTTTGTTCAATAAGGTCACTATAAGTGCTGACTTAGTAAATACCAAACTGTTAATTCTAGGGGAAATGTAAGGTTAGTCCTTTTAGCCCTCTCTCCTACAGCATTTTCATCAATCAACACATGCTCTTGTTTTATGTGTGTTTCTGTTAAAGATATCTCACTTAGTATACAGAGTTGATTGGCTCACACTGAACTCATGACCAACAGCTCTATCACTTGGGCCTGAATGAAACTTATGTAAGATGTGCATTTTTTCTATAAGCGACATCACAGCCTTATTGAACTTAGGATGCTAGGTAGTATTTCACCTTAGTGCTTGGAGGTCATTTTAAACAACAAAACACTCACAAAAACCACAAAAATGTGAAAAAGGGCACTAAATAAATTTTTAAAAGGAACATTTGTTTACTGTATAAGATCTGAAAAAAGATGGCAGTGTCACTTTGTTCTACTTCAGGTAGGAATATGCGCACCAGCTGACTCAAACCATTCATCCCAACCAGGGAGATAGCTCAGCGTTCTAAATGACTGCTTGACAAGCACAAGGACCTGGGTTCGATCCCTGGTACCGCATGCTATGTCACAAACCAGCTGCTGAAACCAGGTGTGATGGTGCACGCCTGTAATCCCAGGGCTGGGAGGGCTGAGACAAGAAGATCACCATGAGTCCAAGGTGCTAGCAAGACTCTGTACCAAATAAATAAATAAATAAATAAATAAATAAATAAATAAATACTTTTAAAATATTTTTAAATATTATTTTAAAAATTATTCATTCCTCTGTGAGTGACAAGAGCTCCATGAGTATTGGTTTGAAGATTACAAATAAATTTTAGTGAACACATGAATTTTTTAAAATGAGGATAGAATATATATTTCCTTGCAGTGTTTTTTTTTTTTTTTATGTTTTTTTGAGACAGGGTTTCACTATGCTGTTCAGGTTGGCCTTGAACTCACCTTGTAGCCCAGACTAGCCTAGAACTCTAGGTAATCTCCTGCCTCAGCCGCTCAAGAACTTGAAGTGGAGTTTGTTTTTGTTTTTTTTGTACCAGAGATCGAACTCAGGACCTTGTGCTTGCCAGGCAGGCATTTATGCTGCTAAACTATCTCCCCGGCACCACTGGAGTAGATTTTTTGTGTGCAAACTAATATCATATCCACTCCCTTCATTTTTTCTAGTTATTAACACACTGCATTTCCTTTGGGGGACCTCTTTCCACATTCTCAAGTCACGTGCTTCCAATGGAAGTAACCCCAGTCATAGTAGGATGGACATGTAACCAGTCCTGACCAATCAGTGTTGCCCTCCTCTGACCAGATATTTGGTTCAGGGATGAGCTGGAATCCAAATAGTCAATAACATTTAATTCTAGAAGTTCCACATACCTATAAGGAACAGGAAAATTTTATTTCCTCTGGGAATTCTAACAGGCCACTATGAAGAGGCTTAAAATAAAGCTAACACAAAAGCTGACTTAAGAGACAGGTAGAAGTTCCTGGTAATAGCCAACCCTAGATTCAACAACCCTTGAAAACTCACTTTTCAATTACTTGAGCCAATAATAAGTCTCCTACACCATCTCTATGCATGCATACGTGTGTGTGTGTGTGTGTATGTGTGTGTGTGTGTGTGTGTGTGTGCACATGCATGGGTGCATATGCATGCATGCTTTTGCTATGGGTTTCCCTGAAGCTCCAGTGTCCCATGAGAATTTCAGGGCAGGCAAAAATTCCCTCCTCATTCATAAATACCTCTCAGGTGTCAGAAACACCTCAAGGTTGGAACCATACAGAGACTTAGGAGTTGACTTAAGGGGAGCCCCCCAATATCCTCCTAGCCCCGTCCCATCATACTAATGCTGACGAGCTGAATATTGGTGTGGTCCGATCCAAGGGAGTTGGTGGCTGTGCATGTGAAGAGGGCATAATCCTGGGCTGCAGACACGTTGGCAATGGTCAGGAGACTGCTATGGACACCACCCTGGTGGTATGTGTGCTCAGTGTACCTGGAGAGAAGGGCCATGCTCAGAGAGGGGAACTGGGGCTGTAAGACCAGAGTTTGGACTTCCTGGCTGGGCTGAGGCTCACCTGGGATCTTGGAGATCCAGAGGGACTCCATTTTTGGTCCACGTGAAGACAATGTTGGGGACACCACGGGCACGGCAGTGGAGGGTGGCAGAACTGGTGCTGTCCCCAGCTGCAGCCACTTTAGTTAGGGGAGCAGGATGTTCCACCTGGGGGGCAACTAAGATGGATTGGGATGGTCAACAAGAAATATGTGGGAAGACATAACAGCAGTGGGCTTAGTGGCAGGCCTGATGTCTAGGGTTTGGCTGCTACTCACATCTGACAACAAGACGGACCAGCCCTCGGGCTGGAGGTGCCACTCCATTGTCCACAATGCACTGGTATGCACCCGCCTGGACCAGTGTGGCATGGCGAATCCGCAGACGCCCTGTGGACCCCTTTGACATCTTCTCCATGTCATCTAGGCTCTGGTCCTCCTCATCTTCCTCCTAGAGACCCAAGACTAGTAGCTGGCCCATCCAGCCTAAGATCCATTGTTTCCCCCACGTAGCCTCATTCTCCCAGCCACAGTCACCCGCCAAAGAACCAGAGAAGTAAAAATTTCTCCTGCCAACCATCCAACCACTGATCCAGTTCAGCCACTCCTCCACCAATCAGCCAATCACTTACCCACCCATTTATCTAACCACTTATGCTTCGAACAGCCTACCCACCCATCTATGCATCAGTCCACCCATTCATTGAACCATTTATATAGGTTGAATATGTGGCTTAGTAGTAGACAGTTCCCTTAGCATGACTGAGGCACCACTTAAAAAGTCTATCCATTCAATCATTTATCTTTCCATCATCATCCATGTATCCAATCATTAGTCTTCTTTCTATGCACCCATATATCCATCCCTGCAGTTCCCTATCCATTAACCCTGTCTATTCACTCATATATGTACATACTCATAAACACATGCATCTGTCCAGCCTTTTATCCAGTTGACCGTTTATCCATATCTCCACAGATCTATCCACCTCTTGATCCAACCATCATCCTTCCAGATGTTTCTACTGGTGGTCTATTTCCCACTCATCCACTCTCTAATCTGATCTGTCTCTCCACTCAATGCTCTCATCCAATAATCCAACCATCCTTTCACTTTCACTTTATCCTTCATTTCACTCTTCCATGCACCCACCTACCTATCCACCCATCTATCTATCCACCTATCCACTCACATAACTACTCATCTACCAATTCACCTACCATTCAACAAAGAGTCACTAGTTCCTGGGGCTTACTCTAATGAATATACAGTTATACAAGGTCACACAGAGGTGGACTATACTCCCAAGAAGCTCACCTCCCAGAAACCACACCTCCCTCCCTACTCCATTCACCAAAGCTTGGGTCCTCACCAGCTTCTCCCAGTTGAACATGTTTGGGAGGATGGGATTCGCATCAGCAGTGCAAACTATGTCCACAGAACCCCCAACATCCACTTCAGTAGGGTCCTGGAGGGCACGGATGGTAGGAGCATCTAGGGGGAGACAGGGGTGTGGGGAAGGCACCTGGGCCCAGACAGGCCATGGTAGGAGAGGTCTCTAGGTAGGAGGTGACCATAAAACTTAGGAGTGTAGACACAGATTGCCCTGTATGTGGAGTACTTGTGGATAATTCTTAGGGATTCTCAGGGCTGGTGAAGTTGTCCTCAACCTCTACTATGCCTCTGTGATAACAGTTGGACCCGCTGCCAGAAGTCTGTAAGGGAAGGCTTCCACAGTGGGTTTGGTTTCCCAAAGGTGGTTCCTTTTCTAGGTAGAGATTGCAAATTGGTCTCTAATGGACAGGGGTTCTATGGGAGGAAGGATTAGGACAGGTGCTTATACCTAGGTGGGTAAAGTTTCTGTATGGAAGAGACCCTACAGTGGGCAAGATTCCTTGGGTGGGTGTGGCTTCCAATGTAGGTGGGACTCTCAGAGACCCTAGTTTCCTATAGCACTGCGTGGCTTACAATGCACACTCAGCCGCACCAGTGCTTCTGCGGTGCCCTCCGAGTTCTGGCAGTGCAGCTGATAGAGGCCATCATCAGAGCGGGTCACATTCCATAGCTGCAGAGCTCCATTGGATAGGATGCGATGCCGGGGACCACCAGCTGCAGAAGGCCATGGTAAGGGGCTGGCAGGCTCTCCCATCATCAGGGACTTGTATCCCGCTGCATGCTCCCTTCCCGCACCTGGGCTGAGGCGATAGCCCCGGAAGGTCCAGTTGAAGGCCTCAGGCACGGGGTTAGCGGACACAGACACAGGCAGCAGTGCCTCGCCCTGCTCCACTGCAGTCACCATTAGCACTTGCTCCCCCAGGAATTCCGGAGGGTCTTCAGAGCCGGTGCCACAGGGAGTCAAGAGGTGAGGACCAAGTCATGGGTAGAGTGGAGGTCAGGGACAATTTCAAGGGCTAAAGTCAGGATCACAACTAGGACTAAGGTTGTGGGCAAGGTAACAATGTCCGAGCTGAGCTCAGGAGTAACACGCAGGATGGAAATTAAGATCCAATTTAGAAAAGGTGTATGGCCAGGGTCAGGTTTAAGGGTGGAAAGATGGGTCGTCATATGAATTATGGGTCAACACAGAAGGCAAAAATAAGATGGGTGTTCAGCAGGACAGGTGTTCATGCAGGGTCAAGACAAACACTAGGAAAGTTGCAAAATTCAAGACAGGGATTAAGGACAGTGAAGATTGTAGTAGTTTAGGGTGAGAGGAGGAATCTGATCGGCGCACATACATAGTACATTGATGCGGTAGGAGGAGCTCACGGTTTCGCGGAGCTCCGCGCTGTGGGCTCGGCAGGTGACCCGGTGGCCGTGATCGCGGGATGACACCCGCAGAAAAACGCTCCTGGACGCCGCGGAGCCTTTGAATGGTGCGCTCTGGGGCGGTGCGGCCACATCTTCCAGCCTGTGCTCCAGTCAGGGAATTGTGTTACGCAAAGGGAGGGACAGGTCGCGCCCAGAACCTGGGGGCGTGGTCAAACCGGGAAGGGCGGGCCAGACCACGAAAGGGCGGGGTCTCTTCTACTCACTTCTTCCCCTCCTTGTCCCAGGACAAGTTGACAGGAGGGTTGCTGCTCACGCTGACGCACGTTAAATTTAAGGCGTCCCCTGGACGCAGAGCCGACGTGTTGGCCAGGATCGTCAAGTTAGTTGGGGGAACTTAGGTCAGAAGAGAGCGGCTCAGAAGTGTGGGGGTAACCTGGGCCACTTCCGCAGCGTCCAGTTCCCAGGCCTTGCCCAGCTCTGGTCCCCTCCGGGCCCCGCCCCGCCCCGCCCCGCATGGGCCCTCACACAGCACCACGATCTGCGTGGACGCGCTCAGCTGGCCGGCCTTGCACGAGAACTTGGCCTTGTTGTCCGGCGGGCCTAGAACCAGCACCAGCTCGCGGGAGAAGGTGCTCCCGGACTTCTCCAGGTTTCCCAGCTGCACTCGCCGTGGCTCCTGGGGCGGCCGCGGCTCCATCACTGTGCGCGCGTCCTGAGGGCCGGACCTGGCTGAGGGACTCTGGGTAGCCCCGCCTTCCGCACCCTTCCTCCAGTTGGGGTCGGAAGGCACCCCCCTGCCATCAGGTACCCCGCCAGTTAAAGGAGTGGGGCTGGAATTGAGCACACCCAGCCCCAGAGTCTTTCCCGCCTCCCCTGGGCCTAGTGTGACCCCCCCCCCAAGTCCCAAAAATCTGTAAATGCACTAGTTTCCAAATACTATATTCCAGGAAACTCCCTTTAAATTCCCAAACCTTGTGCATAATTCCTTTGTTTTTCATTTCATGCTTAGTTCTTGCTCTGGAAAAATTCCCCCTTTCCCCAGAGGAGATTTTTGGTGAAACTCCCTTAATTCCAGTGTCTCTTCACAGATTTCTGACTTTTTCCCATAGTTGTTTATTGGCCTAATCTTATACTAAAATGTTCTGTATTGTCCAAATTCTTGGCATTTTCTCAGAATTCCTTCTAATTAAAATGTAATTCTATTGTCATTCCTATAATCCCATGCCCAGAATTTCCAGTGTCTCCTTCACTTCTCAAGAGTTCCCCAGAATTCTGTTAATTTTTTTTTCTTCCTTTCTTTTCTTTTATTTCAGTTTATGTATTTGGTACAGGGCCTCACTACACAGCTCTGCTTTGTAGTGATCCTCCTGTTTTCAGCCTTCCCAGCTCTGGGTTTACAGGTATGTGCCAACAATCTCGACTTGGTGGCCGGCTCAGCATGCATGTGGTTCCAGAGATTGAACCTGGGTTCCCTGCACTTGCCTAAGCAGGTGCTTAGTTTGCTGAGCTATCTTGCCAGCCCTTAATTTTCTTTCTTTTTTTTTTAATGGAATTTCATAATGAATTTCAAGAATTCAATTTAATATTAATAGGATGTTCAATAGTTTGTAGAAGTATGTCTTTCAAAGCTAGCCTTTATAGGTTAGAACCTTTCCCTAAAATTCCTGATGTTTCCCCTAGATTCTGAGATTTTTTTCACCAGAATTTCCTTTAATTTAAATAGAATTGATTACCATATCTATATAATTCTCAACCTTGATCCAGACATCCTTCTTTTATCTGGGAATTGTGTTCCCAGAATTCCTAGATATGTCCTAGGATTCCCATTTACTTTATGGTGTTTGTATATTTTCCAGTTCCCTTCCAAAATCCAGAATCTCCAGTATTTTTAAAGAAATTTGTGTCTTCTACAATTTTGAAGGAGACCTTTTCCTTCCCCCACATTCCTGGCCATCCCACAGCCCTTGCCAGGCACCAACCTTGAACCAGATGAGGGAGGGGTCTGGGTTACCCCCAATGGCCAAACACACTAGCCTCACCCGGGTCCCAGTCCGGAAGTGCTGCCCCTCTTGAGGTCCCTCAATCCACAGCTTCTGGGCAGGATCTGGGAGGAGAGGCAGGAAGTGTATTATGGGTTGAGGCCTGAAGGAGGACTTCAGGGGCCTACTGTGTTCCTGGGCCAGATTGGTGGCTCACATTTCACGTTCAACGTGAGAGACTTCTTGAAGGTCTCCTTGGTGAAAGCCTCACTGAAGGCCTCACATGTGAGGGTCAGGCCATTGTCTTCCCGACGCATCAGTAAGGTCAGATTGGACATGGAGATCTGACCACCATGCAGGCCCTAGCAGGAAGCAAGCTTCAGACTTGGGGGCTGAGGTGCCCCCATTGTGATAGAAGTCTTGTTTACCCAGACCCCGGGAGAGACACATAATGCATCTCCATCTTATCTCCCAGACCTGGAGATTGGAGCCTTTGTCCAACCTCCTTGAAGACCAAAGCCCCCAGGCTGCCCAGGCTGCCTCTCCCAGCTCTAGCTTTCATGACTTCAGCCCCCTTTTCGCTTGGCCCCCTCCTCACATCCATGACTGTCTCCTCTGTGGGCTGCAGCTGCCGCCCACCCAGCCACCATCGCAACAGGACCTTCGGACGACTGGACTTTGTGAGGCAGCAGAGAGTCACATTCTTGTTCTCAGACTGTGATACAGATCCCAAGATGGTTATGGCACTGGGAGGAACTGCAGGACAGACGGGCAGAAGAGAGACACATGGCTGGGCAGGGATCCTCAATACCACTCCAGACAGACAGACAGGATGGGGAACAGATGAAAGGTTTTCTGACATCAGACAGGCATGATTTGGGGACACAAACAGATGGTTTACTGGGACAGGAGCTGACAGATGGACAGCTGGTGTCAGAACTCACAGGTGACCTGCAGTGTGATGCTTCGTTCTTGAGTCCCTGCAGATACACTATTGTAGGCTTCACAGCTGATTTGGGCTCCGTGGTCTTCTGGCCGGACAGTCATTGTGAGTACACTTCGAGCAGTGGCATGGACATGCTCCGTGCCCCATGCGATGGGCACAGGCTGGCCATTCTGGAGACATGAACAGACCTAGACCAGCTCAGAGCCAGCTCTTTGCCCCTGCCCTCCTTCCAGGGCCACACCTACTATTCTCCTTACCTTCAACCACTGCAGTGTGGCTGGTGGGTTCCCTCCTCGGGCTGTGCATGGCAGTTCCAAGTTCTGCCCTGCCCTAACAAGCCCCTCATTCAGGCCTGGCCACTCAATGATAGGAGGTCCTGGGGGGACTAGGGAGCAGCAATCACTCAATAGGCCTCGAAAGCCCATCCATTTTTTCTAGTCCCCATAGCCTGCCTCAGCACAGGGACCTGGTATGTAGTTCAGGCTGGACTTGAATTCACTATGTAGCCCAGGCTGGCCTCAAATTCGAGGCCATCCTCCTGCCTCTGCCCCCTGAGTCCTGGGATTACAGGTATGTGCACTCCCAAGTTTGTTCTTTCTTTCTTTCTTTCTTTCTTTCTTTCTTTCTTTCTTTCTTTCTTTCTTTCCAATGTATTTAGGACAGGGTCTACAGGATCTCATTATGTAGTCTGGACTCAGTGATTCTCCTGTTTTCAGCCTCCCAGGCTCTAGGATTACAGGCACGTGCCACCACATCCAGACTCCATGTTACCCTGAATTTTCCATAATCTTTGTGATCCCTCATGACCCTCAAATCCTGTTTTCCCCCCTCAGTGCCCACAATAGTTCATCTGTCCACTTACACAAAACATTCATGGTGATTGAGGCCTTGATGGGGCTGACCAAAGCTGGGCTGGACCCCACACAGACTAGTAGCTGTCCATTATCTGAGCTCTGGGGTGTCACACTGCAATAGGAAGTTGGGTTACTAGAGTCAGATGTGTCATCTGAAACTTAGGGAATCAGGGTGAAGAGGTAGGATCCTAGGTCCCTATGCCTGATCTCTGTCTCCATAGTGAATTCTTCTAAGATTTAGAGTTCTAAGGGAGAGATTTAAGACTTTGACAGTAAGAATTAAGGTTTCAGGGGTCCACACCTGGCCTAAATCTTGGTGTCTGATACCCAGGAACTGGGGTTCCCATGACAAAATTTTGAGTGTCCAAGTGAAGAACTGGATCTCCTGCTTGAAAAAAAAATGGGACCCAAATACTCATACCCAACCCTAGTTCCATGCTTGAATTCCTGAAATACTAGACTCTTGTGGGTCAGGTACCATGGAGAGGATGTCCCCAACCTGCACACCTGACTTTGGCCTCTGTGATGAAGAGTTTCTCCTGGGATCCTTCACTCACGTCGACAGAGATGCTGGGTACTGCTTGTCCACCTTGGGGCAACAAGAAGGCTGGAGGGGTGCTGGGTTCCCCTCAAGATAGGTTCCGGGAAAATGGCTCGGAAGTCTTGGGGTGGATATGAAGCTCCTTCCTCCTGGGGTGCCAGCTATGTTCCCTCCCTTACTCAGGAATCCCTGAATACCAGAGTCCTCAGGGCGGGTCCTGTGTCTCTCCCTTCTCCTTCCCTCCTGGTTAGGAGCACCCCCACCACCTCCACTTCTCATATATACACTTGGTCTTAGCCAAAAGACTGAGAAAGGATCCACTTCCCACTTCTGCACTGCCATCACTGGCCGTAGCTCACCTGGGCCTCAGCTTGTCCAGGGCCCAGACAAGCAGAGATATATCCTCCTAGATACCTCCCCCATGTTCCCTCCCATCAGCAGTTTGCATGCTGACCTCAGCCACATCCTTGCCCATACCTAGGTCCCTATCTCAGGCATGATATTTTCTGAGCCCCAAGAGGACACTGGTCAAGAACATACCCCATCCCCACTCCAGGGTGTCGTACTGCCCCCTTCAATTCATGGATACTCACTCTGGAGGAAGGTGATGTCAGATGCTGGCTTTGCATCTCCAGATATGCAGCTGACCATATATTCCTGCCCAGCTACCCAGGTGACTGTGGTCCCTGCCTCAGGGGTCAGCTGAAGCACCTTGGGGGGAACTGCAGAGAAATGATCTGGAATGAGCCCCCACCTCAGAGAAGGACATGAAGATTTGGGTCAAGACTCCTTGCTCAGGGGCTGGGGAAGTAGCTCTACGGCGTAAGTGCCTGCCTGGCAAGTACAAGGTCCTGAGTTCAATCCCAGTACCAAAAAAAAAAAAAAGACACCTTGCTCAGGAAATGAGTTCTGCACCCAGGATCTGGAGGAGGAGGGACTGGGGGCCCCAACTTCTGGGTCATGGGGGTCTCTCACCCATACCCAGGATGGAGAGGGACACTCTGGGAGACACAAGTTCAGGGCCTGTTTCCGAGCGGCCAACCTGGCACTCATATTCTGCGTCATCGCTGAGGTCACATGCTTCAATGTGCAGGTGGAATTCACCTGTGAATGGAAGCTCCCCAAAGTCAGGACCACAGCTTCTGCTGATAGCTCAGAGTCCCAGGCTCTGATCTCTCACCTCTAGCAGGATCTCCTTCCATGTGGTATCTCGGGAAACCTGGGATTCCTGGGTTGGGACCCAACAGCAGGCCATCCTTGGCCCACTGTACGACACTGCCAGGTGCGCTAACGCCACACTTCAGCTCCACTGTGGCCCCCTCCACAACTGTCAAGTTTTCAGGTAGGGCCCAGAAGCCTCGAGGCACTGAGGCAGGGATTCGTGACTGAGTGAGGCCTGGGAACACACGGGAGTCAGAGGAAGGGACAGAGAATCTGTCTAGGGAAAAAGTGGGAAACCAGTCAGCAGACACTGGCAACAGGGTCAGGAGCCCACTTACCTGTGATCAGCAGCCCCATGAACAGCAGGGAAGCCCTGGTGGGGGTCTTCAGAGCTGTACCAGGGCCTCTGACCATGGCTGCCACCATGTCCATTATCTGCCACCTGCATGGGCCACAGTCTGTCTGTGGGCCCTTCATTCTGTGTGTCTGTGCTTCCTTCTCCTCCTCCCCTTCCTCCTCCTCCCCCTCCTTTGTCTCTCCTTCTCTCCTCTCTTCTGTTTCTGTCCCGCCTCAGGAGTGTCTCTTTCTGTTTTGCTCCTCCCCTGCTGTCTTAGGGTCTCCTCTGCCTCATTCTCTACCTTTTTCTGTTAAACAGCCATTTTTCCAAAAATCTCTCTGAATCTGCCACCCTAACGCGCGTGTGTGTGTCTCTCTGTCTCTCCCTGCTTCTGTCTCTCTCTGTGACAGTCTCTTTGTTTTTCTTCTCCCCTCTACCCCTATGCCTGCTCTCCTTGACCCACTCACTCACAGCCCCTTCACCTGCACCTGCTGCTTAGAATCCAGTGGGCCCTTGATCCCAGAAAAACCAAGAGACTGCGTATTCAGTGGCTGCATTGAGCGGGTCCTTGGACCCAGCCTGAGCTTCCCTCTCATACTGTGGCTCCCCTAAGGCCCCTCCTAGGCCTCCAGCTCCAGCCACTGCTCAGCAGGCCCCTCCCAGCACAGCTGGAGCATGAAATCCCCTGTCAGCACATGCCAAGCATATTCTTTGGTGCCTCCCCAAGCCCCTTGACCCTGAGGGCCTGGGAGAGCAGGTCAGACCTGGACCATCTCCCAGTTCAGCATGGAGAACAGAGAGCTGGGCTGTGTGGGAGGGTGACTCCTCAGCTCTTCTCTGCCTAGGTGCATGACCTTGCTGCCTCAAGTAGATATGGCTTCTCAGCAACACTGGGCGGGGTCTTTGCTTAGAAGTGTGCAAAAGTGGGTGTGAACCTGGGAGAGTATGGGGAGGTGAAGCTATCTGTGTGCATAGGTTTGAGTGTGCCTGTGAGTGGGTGAGCACGGGGGTGAGAGTGCGCAGTGGTCTGTGAGTGCACGTGGGAGAGAGTGTGTGAAAGCATGTTCAGCATGCTGTGCAGGGAGCAGGGCCCTCAGAAGCAGTAATGAAAAACAGAGTTCAAATCTGCCAACAGCCAGTGGGGGTGCCCTTTGGTAAAGGCCACGTGAGCATCCTTCTGTCCCTATTTCTATCTTCTCCATCTCTTCCTTCCTGCTCTGTGTGTGTCTCTCTGTTCCATCTTGATTTATCTTTCTCTACCTCCTTGACACCTCTCTCTCTCTCTCTCTCTCTCTCTCTCTCTCTCTCTCTCTCTCTCTCATTAAATCGTTTACTATTTCACTGTCTCTGTATCTGCACACGTCTCTTTTTTCTTCTGTCTCTGTTCTCATCTTGATCACCCTGGCTATCTTACATTCTGTCTCTCACACACCAGGAGTTCAATAAATATTTCTCCGTCAGTCTCTGCCTTGCCTCTTTCTCATCAGTTTCTCTAGCTTTGAGTCCTGATCCTCACATTCCTGCATTTTCTAACCATATGCTGCCTGGCCTGGCTTAGCCCATGCAAGTATGTATGTGCACAGGGTCCTAGCCCCCTGTGCACATACATACTTGCATGGGCTAAGCTCCTTCTGCCTGCTTATCTCCTGCAGGAATTGCAACTGTTTGTTTTCTCCCCCTTCCTGAGACCCCCCTTCTTGTCCTTCTCCAGGAAAAAGATGAAGCATCTGGCCAGAGCCCCCAGTGCTCCATCCCTGATGCTCCTCTACGCCCCACCCCATTATTCATGTCTTCCCCTCCTTCCACTTCCTACTTTCCAACTTCCCCCCATACCTCCTGGGAAACAGAGACAGACCTGGGGGAGTTGTCATGGGACCCTCACCAGATGGTGTCCCGAAGGGCCAGGGTGTAGAGCTATCAGTTGTAGGGACCTTTAATTAGCACAAACCTATCTCCACCTTGGCTGTTTTCCTTCTCTCTGTGCTCCTGGGATTCAACTTTCCCTTTTTTTTTTTTTTTTTTTTTTTTTTAATGCCCGTGGCCCCAGAGAGCCAGGAAGGGGAAGCAAGAGCAGGTGTCTGGAAAAACAGCCTCATCTTCTGACTTCCTCCCCAACACACAGGAGGCCTAGACCCAAGCCCATCCTGTTTTAAAATCCAAGTGCTGGATTCACAACATAGAAGCAGAATTTTAGGACCCTAGGAACTTCTCTTAGACTCAGCAGTCCAGACTCCCACCCTTTCGGTCCAAGAGCCCTTGAGTTCAGGTCTCCAATCCTCTAGCCTCTGCCTGGAATACGCAGGACTTAGGCCAGATGTTCACAGTCTGTTGATTTTCAAATCCCCAGTCTGCTGAGGCGGGGAGGGCGGGGGGTTAATCCACTAGCTTTAAGACCTAAAACCAGATATTCTGACCCTGGCCTCACAGCACCAAGTGCACTCCTCAGGGCACAGGGAGCCCGGATCATCAGCGTCTCAGCCGGTGGAGTGCTGAACCACCAGACCTTACAGCCCTGGAAGTCCAACCCCCATGTAGGTAGGCAGAAGCCCCACCCAACCAGGGAGCATCTAAGAACCTGAATGTGGACTTTCAATTGCTACAGGTCCCAAAAGGTCAGATCCAGGATCCCAGCCCCCCAGCCCCTTCTGTAGGCTCAGGGTCCCTCCCACCTGCTCAGCCAGCTGCGCAGCGTGGGAACGCCCCAGCTGGACTGCAAGGAGCTGTCAGGACAAGCTGCGAGATTCCCAGACCCTCTGCCTGCGGGAGCGGACCTCCCCCCACAGCCGTCGCTGGGCAACCGTGGCGGAAGGGCCCAGACTGCTAGTGTGGAGAGGGGCTGGGCCAGAACTGCGGGGTCCTGGGAAAGGAGGGGCTGGGGTCCCAGATTTCAGGATCTTAGGACGTGCTACGGTTTGAGGCGATAGCAGTGCGGCAGAGGAACATTTTGAGATTTGAAATGAGAGGAGCTGAGACCCCTTTATCAGGGATCCCAACTGGACTCAGGACCCAGGTGTCCTTTCCCCGACCTTCAAGCCCAGGGGAGTACAAGACCGCGCCTCCCTAAGGCGCGGAAACTGGCGAGGCCCCAGGAGTTCCCATTTATAGACTAGTTTCCACTCAGCCTGGTCCCTCCAGAGCCCGGGCTGAGCAACTTTCTTCCACTCTCTCCCTTCCCTCCTCCTCTCTTCCAGCTCGCTCCCCCCCCCTCCGCCCGCGACAGGGCACAGATGTCCAATCCAGGCAGGACCCCCTCTTTGGATCCAGGTGTTCCGGCTCCCAGACCACAATTGGGCCGAGGCTCTCCCCAGCTGGGCAGCTCCCTGCCCCTTCCCCTGCCACTCCCCGCGCCCCTCATTCATCCTAGTCCGGGCCGCGGGAGTTTCTCAATGGAAGAAGGCGGGTCTCCCAGGGGGCGGCCGAGGGCGGGGCAAGCGGGATCCAGCTCGATCCACACACTCCCCGGTCTCACAGATTCCCGGCGCGCAACTGGCAAGCCTTTCAGACTGACCGAGGCTGTGCATGGGTAGACTTCACCGACCTGGGACAGTGACAGGGGTGTCTCCAGCCACTGCACGCGAAGAGTGTGGTGCGAAGGGGGCTCTGATCCTGGATGGTGAGAGGTGTGTCGCCCAGCTAGAAGTTGGAGGGAAGACAGTGCAGCCCCAAGTCTCGCAGACCTTGGGGGACACACACTGAGGATGCTAGTCGCCGCCCTCCTCGTCCTCCTCTTCTGCCTCAGGGGGCGCGCAGGTATCGGATGGGGAGCCAACAGATACAGTTTGCGGTCCAGTCCTCCGCGTTACCCGGGGCCGGACTGCTGCACGTCTAAGAGGGAAGCGCTTTCTGATTCTGGGAACCGAACTCCTGGGTCGTTGAAAGAGCGAACCCTTGACTATGCGAAGCTCAGCTCTACTGGCCCCCATTCTCCTAGGTCTGTCTCCCCACTTCCTGAAGCAGCCGGAGGACCTCGTAGTGCTGCTCGGGGAAGAAGCCTGGCTGCCCTGTGCGCTGGGCGCCTACAGGGGACTGGTGCAGTGGACCAAGGATGGGCTGGCGCTAGGCGGCGAAAGAGACTTGCCAGGTGAGGCCACCCTCTGCTGGAGAGGGGGGGCCGGCTCTAGAGGGGGGAGGGGCGCTGTACTGAAGGTGGGCTGTATTCCATGTTGCTGGTATTTTCAACTTCAGGAAGTTGATAGACTAAGGTAAACATTTGGGAGTGAGGTTTTTGAACTGCTTCTTTGTTTTTTTTTTTTTTTTTTTTTTTTTTTTTTTTTTTTTAACATTTATTGTGTGTGTGTGTGTGTGTGTGTGTGTGTGTGTGTGGCCAGCTCAGCCCACCAGGGGGCGGGGCTGGCTGGCATGTGGTGCACCGCGGTCCCTGTGCTTTGCCAAGCTTGTTCCAAGTAGGTGCTTTAGACCACTGAGCCATCTCTCCAGTCCCTTGAACTGCTTCTTTGGAGGTGACCCATATAGTTTGGGGATATAAATGGAGAAGTTGCCAAATAATTATAGACAGCCACACTAGATCATTGCCAGGTCCCCGCCAACCTCCTTATTCCTTTTTCCTGTCATAGCCTAGAGGTACTACCTAATGTTTATACAATCATTTTCTCGTTTTGTTTCTAACTGCATTATCCCCAAGTTAGCAGTGTCTGTTGGGCCAGAGTCTACCTTGGGTTAGTCTCTCTAGGTCCAGGGCATTTTCTCCATTCCCTACCTCCAACCCAGCCTTTGATACTGGGGATTGAGTCCTGGGCTTTTGCACTAAGCTACATCCTTAGCCCTTTTTAAGTTTTAACTTTTTTTTTTTTTTTTGGCGGAACTGGGAATTGAACTCAGACCCTTGCGCTTGCCAGAGAAGCGCTTATCCTACTGAGCCGTCTTCCCAACCCCTAAGTTTTAATTTTAAGGCATGGTCTTGATAAGTTGCCCAAGAGGGGCTTGAACTTGTGACCTTCCTGCCTTAGCCTCCCAAATATTACAGGTGTGTGACCCCACACCGAGCTCAAGGCACACTACGAAGCTGTCTTCCTGTAGAATGTATGTATGCACCAGTTCTCTGGTGAGGGATGTCTGGGTACTCGGGATCATGATGCAACTATCTCTTCCCTCATTCCAGGGTGGTCCCGGTACTGGATATCAGGGAGTGCAGCCAGTGGTCAGCATGACCTCCACATTAGGCCGGTGGAGCTAGAGGATGAGGCATCATATGAGTGTCAGGCTACACAAGCAGGCCTCAGATCTCGACCAGCCCAATTGCACGTGCTGGGTGAGGACTTAGACTACCTGTTTGTTGGGAGCTGGTGAAGGGAAGCAGCCAATATTAGCTGGGACTATCAGTTCAGGGAGCCCAGGGGGTGGTGGATTGGAGTGGAGAAGATGAGGATCTCTCCTCAAGAAGATCCAGTTCTGACCATATCTCTACTATGCAGTGCCCCCAGAACCTCCCCTGGTACTGGGTGGGCCCTCTGTGTCTCTGGTTGTCGGAGTTCCTTCAAACCTGACCTGCCGGAGCCGTGGAAATGCCCGTCCTAACCAGGAGCTGCTGTGGTTCCGAGATGGAGTCCGACTGGACGGAACTACCTTCCACAAGGTCAGGTCCAAATCCTTTTGCCAACCGCTCCCCATCCAGTGCAACTTGGGGTCCTCTGTGACCATTGGTTCATCCAAACGAGGAGGCTGAGGTTCAAGAGTTAGCCCTCTTGAAATGTGATTCAGGGTGAGGGCTTTAGGGTCAGACTACTCGGGTTCAAATTCTGCCTCAACCACTTGCTAGGGATTGATCTTCAGCATGTTATTTAACTTCTCTGTCCCTCAGTTTCCTTATCTGTTCAATGGGGATAATAGTAGAATGTACTCTATAGAGCACTCGTAGGATTAAACAGGATAATACTTATAAGTGTGTAGAACAGTGCCTGACACATAGTACTCTGATGTGCAAAGGGTAGATGCAGTCATTAATATTCATGTCCTCCAGACCCTGCTGAAGGAAGGGCCCACTGGGTCATTGGAGAGCACATTATTCCTCACTCCTTCCAGCCATGATGATGGAGCTACTTTGGTCTGCAGAGCCCGGAGCCAGGCCCTGCCCACAGGGAGGGACACAGCTGTCACATTGAACCTACAATGTGAGTTCAGTTGGCCTTAAGAAAGGGGGAAGGGTGGAGCTTGGACCCTTGGGTCTGAGGAAGGAGGCTAACTCTGGGTCTGGGGTCCTTGAGGTAAGAGGAAGCCAGGTCCTGTGCTCCAGGACAGGATAAAAGAGCAGGAGAGAAGAACGAGATGGCACAATGGGCCACCTGGGGGAATTGGGAACCAGAAACCCAGACCTCTGACTCAAAGGGAGAAAGAGACTAGAGTGAAGGTTTCTGGGATGGAGGGACTGGGGAATGGACTGCGATGGAGGTGTTTCAGGTCCTTGTAAGCCAACAGTTGCCCGCTACCCACCCAGATCCCCCAGTGGTGACTCTGTCTGCTGAGCCACAGACTGTTCAGGAGGGAGAAAAGGTCACCTTCCTGTGTCAGGCCACAGCGCAGCCTCCTGTCACTGGCTACAGGTGAGGACAAAGGCTTCTCTCCAGTTGGGAAAGCATGGGTTTAGAGACGGGTGAGACAACATCAACAGCATCATCATCTCCGCAGGTGGGCAAAGGGGGGCTCCCCCGTGCTTGGGGCCCGCGGACCAAGGTTGGAGACTGTGGCAGATGCCTCCTTTCTGACTGAACCTGTGTCCTGCGAGGTCAGCAACGCTGTGGGTAGCGCCAACCGCAGCACTGCGCTGGATGTGCTGTGTGAGCAGGGGCGGGGCCGTGGGTGTGACCAATGTGGGCATGGCTGGGGCAGACTGTAGAGTGGAGAGGCTCAGTTGTAATCTCAGCCCTCTGAGAGGCTGAGGTAGGAGGAGCACAAATTCAAGCCCAGCCTAGGCAGTTTAGCGATCTAGTGTGACACTGTCTCAAAAAAAAAAAAAAAAAAAAAACACCAGGTATGGAGATACAGCTCAGTGAGAAGGTACTAATTCATCCCTGCTACAAACAAACAAGAAAGGAGAGACACAGAGACATAGAGAGAGACAGACCTGGAGGGAGGGAGGAAGGAAGGGAGGGAGGGAGGAAACAGACAAACAGGGCTTGTCTGTGTGGGTTTAGTCCGAAGTGAGTCAGGGGCAGGTCCAGGGCTGGTAGACATGGACAATTAGTAGGCAGGGTGTTGTGGACTGAGGAGCTACGCTTGAACCCGGGTGCTTTTTTCTGAGAGGCTGGTCCCTGGGTTGAAATGAGGGACTTCATTTCATCCTCACCAAGTGACCCCTCTTTTCCCTCCTCCAGTTGGGCCAATTCTGCAGGCAAAGCCAGAGGCCAAGTCAGTGGACGTGGGGGAAGATGCCTCCTTCAGCTGTGCTTGGCGTGGGAACCCCCTCCCACGGATAACCTGGACCCGCCGAGGTGGCACACAGGTGAAGCCCAGTGTGAGGACTATGTCAGTAGCTGTCCTGTCAGTGTGGTAGGCGACGTCAGGCCTCTGATGCCCCTTCCCTGTCCCAGGTGCTGAGCTCTGGTCCCACCCTGCGACTTCCATCCGTGGGGCCTGAAGATGCAGGTGACTACGTGTGCAGAGCTGAGCCAGGGCGCTCGGGCCACGGTGGAGGAGCAGCAGAGGCCAGGCTGACTGTAAATGGTGAGCCCAGGAGGGTTCCAAGCTAGTGAACAGGAGAGGAGCAAGTCTAAGGGGAGTGAAGGTGGCCTTAAACAAGCTGATAGATGGAAGAGTCTAGCGATTAGAACTGTAAGGGCCTTGTGGGGGTTCCAAGTAATGGTCAGGGTTATGGAATGCCCAGGTCTTGCTTTGTTCAAAATCAGCACTGGGGAGGGTGAGGCCTCTCCTGAGTGGTTCGATCTCCATTCCAGCTCCCCCAGTAGTAACTGCTATGCATTCTGCGCCCGCTTTCTTGAGGGGCCCTGCCCGCCTCCAGTGCTTGGTGTTTGCCTCCCCTGCCCCAGAAGCTGTGGTAAGAAAAAGTCTCCCTACCATGACCCACTCAGCCATAATCACTGACCTCCCACTGGGACCCCTGAAATGGCTCTGACTTTCTGGCATCCTGCCAACTCTTCCTTCCTCCCATGTCTTCAATGCTCTCTCTTCCCTGGTTTTGTTCTTTCCTGCCCTTAGGTCTGGTCTTGGGATGAGGGCTTCCTGGAGGCAGGCTCCAGGGGCAGGTTCCTGGTGGAGACTTTCCCAGCCTCAGAGGGTCTTGAGGGTCAGGGTCCAGGCCTGATCTCTGTGCTACACATTTCGGGAACCCAGGAGTCTGACTTTAGGAGGGGCTTTAACTGCAGTGCCCGGAACCGGCTGGGTGAAGGAGGCACTCAGGTTCATCTAGGCCGTAGAGGTGAGACACTGTCCTATAGACCCCAAATCTGTGATTCAAACCCCACAAACACAGGGTTCTCCTGACTGAGACTTCTTTTGTACCAGGGCTCAAACTCAGAACCTTGCACTTGCCAGGCAAGCACTTATTCCACTGAGCTATCTCTCAGGCCCCTCTCTGACTGAGACTTCTAAACTATAAGGCCTGCTACTTCAGAATCCCCAGACCCTGGAAACCTCAAAACTATGGGCTTCTTAAATCCTGAGTCCACTCCCCCAACAATTACTTCAAAAACAGAATCGTAGGGGCTAGTGAGATGGCTCAGTGGTCTAAAGCACCTACTTAGAACAAGCTAGAACAAGCTTAGCAAAGCACAGGGACCACGGTTCAATCCCCCAGCACCACATATCAGCCAGCCCAGCCCCCTGGTGGGCTGAGCTGGCCACACACACACACACACACACACACACACACACACACAAATAAATAAATAAATAAATAAATAAATAAAATTTTAAAAAAAAGAGAGATTTCTGCCAATTTAAAAAAAAAAAAAAAAACAGAATCCTAAACTGTAAGACCCCCAACATTTGGGGACCCCAAAGAAAGGGAACCTATAAATATAGGATGCTGCAAGTTAAAAGACTCCTCCAAGCTCTAAGACTCCCTAAAGTCAGTGAATTTATACTTCCATATTCTCAAACTTGTAGAGCCTCAAATTCATGGTTCCTTAACCACCAACTAAAGAACTATCAACTTTGGGAATCTCCCAACGTGGTGAACTTCTGAGCCCACGGATTACCAAACCCAAGCCCAGAGTCTCTTTCCAGTTGTGGCTCAGCCTTCTCAGGACTCTCCTGCTCCCCACAGACTTGCTTCCCACTGTGCGGATTGTGGCTGGCGCAGCAGCCGCAGGCACAACTCTTCTTATGATCATCACTGGAGTGGCTCTCTGCTGCTGGCGCCATGGCAAGTGTCAATGCCTAAGCCCTGACTCTCACCTCTCTCTGCAAACCCCAACCCTCCAGCCCCACATGCCCAGTCCACTGACTGTTGGCCTTGAGGCCTAGCTCCAGTCCAGTTTCTAGCCCTGCACAGGGCTAGGCCCACATGCAGGCCCTAGCTTTCTCCTCAGTATTAACTTGGTTGTACACCCCCCCCCAAGGTTCTGATTGGTTTCTAGCCTCCCCAGAGATCAACTCAGTCCCTTCAATTCCTGGTTATTGGTCTCTACAAAATGGGGCCTTGCCCATTAGCTTACCTCCACCTTTCTCTGTCTGGACCTTAGCCTCTTTCTCCAAGCAAAAGAACCTGGTGCGAATTCCAGGAAGCAGTGATGGCTCCAGTTCACGAGGTCCCGGGGAAGAGGAGATGGGCAGCAACGAGGATCGAGTAAGATCCCCAGATCCAATAATATCCTAATCCAACCGTACCCCAAAACTCAAATATTGCCCTAGTCTAACAGTGACCTCAGATCCTAATGTCCACATTGACCCTGACCACTGATTTCTTAGGCCCAATATATCTGAGATATATAGATAGATAGATAGATAGATAGATAGATAGATAGATAGATAGGAGAGAGTCAGGGTCTAAAGGTCTTATTACACAGGTAGGACTCAGTGATCCTCCTGTTTTCAGCTTCCCAAGCACTGGGATTACAGGTGTGCGCCACCATGCCCAGCCTCAGTCACCATCTTAGCATGCCTCAGGGGGCAGGACTGGCATGGCAAGCTGGGGATTAAACCCTAGTTCCTGCATCTGCCTAAGCAAGTGCTTTAATCCACTTGAGCTGTCTGTCCATTGCCTTCTTGTTTCCCAAGTCTAGACCCCAGTCCAGATGCTCTGAGGCATCCTTCCTACCTGGCCCCTACCATCACACTGATTGTCCTTGGGGACTGGCTGTAGGGCAGCAGGATCATCTGATAGTTCCTTCTCACTGTGTTCCCTCTCTAGGGTCCCATTGTACCCAGTGACCACAGTGACCTCATTCTGGATGAGAAAGAGGCTCTGGAGACCAAGGTGAGTGTTGAGATAGGAGGGTCTCTTCACCATGCTCTGTTCTTTCTTTTTCATGGTTTCTCCCCTGGGAGTAAGACCTCGCTCTTCCCCTGCCTCCAGGACCATCTTGCCCAGCTCCATTATAGTCATGTTTCAGGCCTCCTAAATGTATCTCCTTGGTCACCTCTGCTCTATCTGAGAGTCCCACACAGGCTTTATGTCCCCCTACACCTGTTGCTTCTTTGATGTCCCATCTCAACACAACCTTCATTGATTCAAGTCCTTGTTCCTTGGACTCAAATCCTCTCATGTTCCTCCTCATATCCATCTAACTCCCTCCTTTATTCTCCCAGTTTCAGTCCAGACATTGCTTGTTCTAGGGAACCTGTGCCTGCCTCGTAAGGACCCCGCTATCAGCTGTGTTTTGCCACCATGGCCACAACCACTCTGAGCTGGGCTTCTCCACCACAGCATGACCACTGTGCTAAGAGTTCTCCCATCACCATCTTAGTCACTGCCTATGCCTTTCTCAGTCACAAAGCTGACTCTTGTGGGCTCTATTTGAAGATCTGTCATTTTGCTCTTGGCCTGGGAGCTCCTCAAGGACAACCTTGTGAAACATCTCCAGCAGTGGCACAGGCTGTGATGTGGAATCAAAGCCAGGGGCTGTTGGGCACATGGGTGACTCTCTCTCCTTCCTTCTCATTCCCTCCCTTCAGCAAACCCATATCACTGTCTGGTGATTCTTGCTTGCTTGTCCCTTTCTCTATTTTGCTTACTTCTATTTTTCTCCATCTCTGCTTATTTTCTTCTTTCCCTTTGTCTTTTGTGGTTGATTTTCTCTCCCTTTGTCTCTCTGCTAGTCTTCTCTCTGCTAGTCTAAGTGTCTTGTCTGTCTCTGCTTTCTCTTATTTCTGTATTTTTAATCTTTTATTTATTTATTTGGTACAGAGTCTCACTATGCAGCTCAGACTCATAGTGATCCTCGTGTCTCAGCCTCCCCAGTTCTGGGATTGCAGGCATGCACCACCATGCCTGATTTCGGTGGCCAGCATGGCATGTGGTACCAGGGATCAAACCTGGGTCTTTGTGCTTGCCAGGCAGGCGCTTAGACTACCGACCTATCTCTCCAGCCCCTTTTCTGTCTTTTTGTCTCTAGATCTGGCTCTTTCTCTGTCTGTCTCTCCTTCCTCACCTCTCTGTACTGTCACATATTTCACCAAGCCCTCTTTTTCCCCTCAGGACCCAACCAATGGTTACTACAAGGTCCGAGGGGTCAGTGTGAGCCTGAGCCTTGGTGAAGCTCCTGGAGGAGGCCTCTTCCTGCCACCCCCATCCCCCCTTGGACTTCCAGGGACCCCTACTTTCTATGACTTCAATCCACATCTGGATATGGTGCCACCCTGCAGACTGTATAGAGCCCGGGCAGGTTATCTCACCACACCTCATCCTCGAGCTTTCACCAGCTACATCAAACCCACATCCTTTGGACCCCCAGATCTGACCTCTGGAACACCCCCCTTTCCATATGCTGCCTTCCCTACACCCACCCACCAGCGACTCCAGACTCACGTGTGACAGCTGTCTGATGGAAGAGTCCTGGGATCATTAACTTGCCATAATGGACTGTTCTGGATCCTGAGGTGCCAGAGCAAGTTGACAACCTTATTCCTGCAAAACTGAACATTGAGTGATGGAGAGAAAGAACATTACAATTGTCAGGATCATTGATACATAGTCAGCTCAGCCAAAGGGGATACCTCAAATGGGAGCAATATGGTCACCATGCCCAGTCTTCTCTCCTGTGTAAAAGATATTCAAGGTGAGGATGGTCCTTTGCAGAGAGATGAGGTTAGGAATGGGGTGGAAGTCATTTCTAGCTCTGAGGGAAGATATTCCAAGATGACCTCCAGCATGAATAAGAAAGGTAGTACAGGGCAGCTCAAGATGAAAGACAACAGGTCCCATCTTGTGCTGCATTCTTTGAGGGACACTTCACTTGGCCAATGAAAGTGCTGACAAGATGGTCAGTTACTCTCTGAGAACCCACTATGGCCATCATCTTGATTTCATCTACTTTTCTTAGGGACTCAGAAAGAATTGGGCCCAAGGAGTGGCGGACAGGGTGAGAACTATTGCTGTGGGGGTGAAAGAGAAACTGGATTAAGAATATTTATGTTTAATTTAAAAAGCCAAAGAGGCAAACATGTCTTGGGGATTTTCCTGGTATTATTACTTTCCTTCAAAGAAGAGCTCCCCTGGCTCTGTCCCACAGTCCTTCCTGTAGTAGGCCTAGCCTATGGACTGACTGGAGGAGCACAACTGCGGGCCCCCTCTCAGCTCCTTGCCAATGGTTTATTTTAGCACCACAGACTCCTTTAATATACATCTACACAAGCATACACACATATATTTGGAAACGAAACACAGAAAAACACGTAGGGATGTTCTCGCAAGGTACCACTATGGAAGTCCACATAGATGCACACACAGGACATGGCCGCCCAAGTTGGCCAGGGAAAAAAGTAGTGAGACCTGAAGGGGAGTTGGGAAGCAGATGAGGGGCAGGAAAATGCAAATCTCCTCAAGTGAAGATTGGGGGGTGTCAGGCCCTTTTTTCTGGGGTGCTGTGTCCTTGATAGGATTTGGGTGACTGAGTCTAGTCATCCTTAAAGAAGAGGCATGGGGACTTTGGTTCGTGAATCCTTGGGCCAAGCTTTCAAGGTCCAGACACCTGGGACCAGTGGAAAGCACAAAAAGAAGACAGCTGACAGTCTGAGGAAGAAAGGGTGGGAGTCTTGGTCTCTGGGGCTAAGACTCATGGATCTGAGTAAGGAAGGGACTGGGTCTTAATTGCTGTGCTCTTCATTGAAGAAAGTTTGGGAGCCTGTATTGGAACCTCATGAAAGGGATAGTTTCCTCTTTTTTTTTTTTTTTTTTTTAAATGGGAATGGGTTTCAGAGGCTGGCATCCCTGGACGGAGGACAAAGCCCCACTGTGGCTGTGTGTGTTTAAAGAGAGAGGGGTGGGGTCGGAGCCCTAAGGTTAGACTCAAAATCCAAAGTGGCAGAACCTAGGACCGGGTCTCGAGGCTTGGCCTTCGTATAGGGTGGGACACCCGGAATCTCTCGGGGCGGGGACCTGGCACAGGCTCCCACCGGGGGTTCCCAGGCTGCTCGGTTCTGCGCAGAGCTGCCACGCTATTGTCCTGGCCAGGAAGGCGGGGCCGGCGCGGGGCGGGGCTGGCGGCGCCGGCGCAGCCCGGGGGCGGCGGGAGGAGGAGGCG